CTCTATGTATATGTATATATATGATTAGTCGGCTAAATAATAATAATTTTAATATGTGCTTGTTTACAATTTTAAAGAATGTTGTCATAAAGTATCATAATTTTGTTCATCCTTTAGCTATGTTGGAGCAACAATCTAGAAGAACTTCAGCATGAGTATATAAGGTTAGAGTTAAAAAGAAACTGTCATGGTTTTGTAGTCCTTGTTCCTTTCACTTTTACCGAACAAGATAAATATTTTATACCCACTTTTCATTTTTCTTCTGTTGTGCATTTCGTTATATAGAATAGGCATATTCTATACTCAGTGCTCACCATGATGAGAAAGTCTGACATAACCATTTTTCCATATCTGATTGAACCAAAGTGGTGGGACGGCAGATGGGAGAAGGGATGGATGGAGGCTGGAAAGACAGGGAAGCATATGGCCAAAAAGTGGTTTTCTGATACAAAATCTTTGCTCAGCTGAATGAACTAACACTCTCATTTGCGGGATTTGAAAATGAGGCATTTATATAAACTCCGCAATTGGTAAAAGAATAGACGCTGAAAGACTAAGAGGCAAGACATTATGCAAAACCATGAGTCGGCAGAGACCATGGATAAGAAGAAGCCAGGAGGAAACACAGAACATGACAGAGTAAGGCAAATTAGCTAGGAACAGCATGAGCAACAGAATCCAAGACAAAGAAAAGCAGAGTCACAATGACAGAGATTCAGTTGAAGGAGCAATGATCAACTACTAAGGGAGGCCACACATTATCTTGGTCATCAGAACTAGGTTAGACACCAGATCATGCCTAAACTACAATCTAGTGGCTTAAGCATGACTATGAGGCTCTTTCTGTCTTTCTTAGCCCTCTGTATCCTCAAAATTACCCATCCAAACTTAAGGCAACTTGAATTTTCTTGCAACCTAAAAGAGTCTACTGGGCTATGTGCCATTGTTGGAAAGAAATTAAACTTGAGGTAAGGTTTTATATAAGGTCTTCATTCATTGCCATCAAGAATGTTATTCTACGTGATATATTACAGAGCTTTAAAGTTAACATTGTCTTCTTCACCTACAACTCTGCCTTACATTGTCTGGCTCCAGCGTGTCCAGCTAAACCCACCCTATTCCATGACCACCAACAATAATGTGGCTTCTTCAGTGATCTCCTAAATGTCTTGGAGAGGTTGCTCAGTAAAATAGGGAAGACATAGATTACTTCTAAGCTACCACTGCTGGGACAGCAGTCATGATTCAGTGGTAGAACTCTCATGTTCCATGAGGGAGACCAGGTTCGATTCCAGGACAATGAACCTCATGTGCAGCCACCACCCATCTGTCAGTGTAGGCTTGTGTGTTGTTATGATGCTGAACAGGTTTCAGCAGAGCGTTCAGGCTAAGATGGACTAGGAAGAAAGGCTGGGCTATTTTCAACTAAAATAAGCCAATGAAAACCCTATGGATCACAACGGTCCAATCCACAACCAATCTTAGGGATAGTGCAGGACCATGAAGCATTTTGTTCCATTGTGCATGGGTCGGGGCAATTTGGCAGCAGTCAGCAACAACAACCATTGCTGGAAGTATCAAGATGCATGACCACCTCAGGGTGAATTATGGGTATCCAGGTTTCTATTCCAAATCAGTTGAGTATTAAACATTCTTAAAGCTTTATTTTGTAAAGTAGTTTGACTTCCAATAACCCAGAATATTTTGTTAATACATGTACGGAAATGTTAGAAAAAGTAAACACGTGGATAGTTACTTTGCACTTGTACAAGTTTGCTCCCATATCACTGTTTACTTGGCCAACGAACAATGTTTGACAGGAGATAGCCAAAGATTTCTAAATTCTGCACACTGATTGTTTGCCATTCCCTAAGCTCAAATCAGGGTTCCCAAAGTCTGGTAAACTAATTAGCTCATATTGGTAAATATTAGCAGCCTCAATTCTAAGTATTAGCCAAAATTCATTGGCTGCACTGAGGGCAGGAAAGAGGAAATACAATGAAAATACAAAGATTTTAAAATAAAATGTATTATTAAGATACAAATACACTCTTAATACTCTTTCCCCCTGAGAAAATCAGAGTATAATTTTTTTTTTAAATAAAATTACTTGGTAGACATTTAAATACATCAGTGAAGAAATGGGAAACCTGGGGCTATAGTTAAATATATTGATTTACAATGTTTTGATGTAAAATACAACCAAAGGTGTCTTCTGCTTGTTGACATCAAAATAGTGTTTTACTCTTGCAATTAGACATTATTTCAAAACATTTCAACCTCAAACATTTTAACAGCGTGTGTCAGCAATGCTTTCACATGCTATTTACTAAATAGGACTAATTGAAATTCAAGACTTGTGACCACATTTCAGAAAGAGCCACATGACTCGAAATTGCTAGTATATAATCTTCCAAGATTAAAAAAAAAAAAAAAAAAAAAAATTCCCAAGTCTTCTAATTTCTCTGTCAACCAAATGACATTAACTTTGCCTCTTAAGTGCAGCCAGGCATCCAAGAACACATATAACACATGTTTTCCATCTGAGTCCCTGGTCCCGGTTCTTCCCCATCGCCCACATCCAATCAGTGCCATCTTCTTTAATTACAGTATCTGTGATGTCTATTAGATCAAGGTCTCCTCTTCAATAAAAGTGCCTTGATTTTGAGTCGGTGCCTCACCACTGGCATGTACTGTCTGTCATCTCTATTAAATATAGAGCTACTGGGATCAGGTTATTACTAGTCATACAAATGCAACTCTTAGGACACTTTCTGTCAGGGACACTCTTTCTATATTGCTTTTGGATCACTCCTTGAAGACTTAAAATATTCTAAGTAGGGTTTGTTTTAATCAAAATTCTTTCAAGTGAGATAGAATAACATAATTTCAGTGCAAACTAACTTCACCATTCTATTGGGGTGAATTTAACTGAAAAAGATCAATGATTTATAATATTGACAGAGAGATAAAATGGAATAAAAAATAGAACTGTACTTAATTTAGAGCGAGGGGCCACAAATTACAGCTTCAAATAACAAAACCTAACTCCGTACTAATTGCAAAGCAACAGTAATATATAAAATAACCTGGAGAGAATTAATAAAAACTGTGCCTGCCTGCTTTTCTGTGGCAAAGGTATAAGGAAGATCATTGTCAGTCGTGATCCAAGTTATAAACTTAAGATAGACGTTTGTTTCCCCATCATATTTGGCTCAGTGGACCATGTTTTGATGAAGCATTAGTCTTTGCAGGTACAGACAAACACGTGAAAAGCAGTCAGTTGTAGAACAGTGCCATTTTAAAGTACAAAGGAAAACGGTATTAAGCTGAATGGTAGTGGGTCTCAAACCCACTCGTAAGCCCCGCTCCCAGGTGACATAATTCAGTGGTCAATTATCTACAAATTGAGCTGAATGGATTCAGTTATTTAAATTTATTTGAGACACTATAGGTGCTAGTCAGTTTTAGACTTAAACTTTTCATGCAACAATGACAACAAAAATATGTGAAATCAAAAATATGTGAAATAATGTATTAATTACTAGAAAACAAGAGGCTCAAAAATATGTGATGCCAATAACTTCAAAGGTCAAAGCTCTGTATATTTTATATGTTTTGATTGAATTTTCATAAAATAAATTCTATATTCCTTGCTCCAACACAATATACTAGATAACACTTAAACTTGTACAGGTGACTATGCCATCCCTAGGAATATTTACCACTGGCTTAAGGTAAAATATTCCAAGTTAATATCCCAATTCACAATTTAATAGCCATGGGGCAGTTGCTAACCTTCCCTGTGCCTTAGTTTACCTCTTTGTGAAAGAAGTAATAGACCTCATGTGGGCTGTAGAGAGGCATTGGTGGTTCAGGGGTAGAATTCTCTTCTTCCACGACGGAGACCTAGGTTTGATTCCTGGCCAATGCACCTCATGTGTAGCCACCACCCACCTGTCAGTGGAGGCTTGTATGTTGCTGTGATGCTGAACAGGCATCATCAGAACTTCCAGACTAACACAGCCAAGGAAGAAAGGCTTGTAAATTTACTTCTGAAAATCAGCCAGTGAAAACCCTACGGATCACAACAGTTTGATACCCCAACCTACCATGGGGATAGTATGGGACCAGGCAGCATTTAGTTCCCTTGTGCATGAGATTACCATGAGTCGGGGAGATAACTTCACAGCAACAACAGTGTTCTGGGGATCAGATGTGAGAATGCATGTGAAAGGACACAGTAACACCTCTAGCACATCTTTGTTAGTTTTCCTTTCTCCCCTTAAGTGTTGTCTTGTACTTCTCACTACCGTACTTGATTCTTTCAGTTTGATATTCCTTATCTTCTAAATGTGAATATACCAGATATACAAGCTTGTTAACAATGTGTTAAATGGAAGAAAGCTTTGTGAGCCCAAAGCCACAGTGTTAAGGTTTGGGATGTTGAGAGGCATTTTGTACTTAATTCAAAGGGTTGAAAGTGTTACATTCAACCTTTATTTGAGTAGAAATATTATCGGAGCACTTTAAATTGAACACAAAATAGTATTTAATATAAGGATGTTTTGAGTACACAACTATAATTCAATTTTACAAGTTATTTATATACATATAAAGATTTCACAAAACATAATATTAAATAATTCATTTTCAGTCCTCTGTATAGATGGGATTGTTTCTATAAATAAAGATATTAGTTGGTTACGTTATTGACTATTAGACTATTGAACAGTGCAGCTTTTTTCTCATCTATCTCTGATAGTACGTGTAATCATCTCTAATGAAATTAAATTAGCTTTGTGATTTTGAGATAAATTCTTTAGTACAAGCTGAGTGAATCCATCCTTCTCACTAAATTTTATACTCTATGTTTCAGTTTAAGGAACCCTTGTGGCACAGTGATTAAGCACTCTGCTGTTAACAGAAAGGTCAGTAGTTGGAACCCACCAGCCGCTCCACGGAGGAAAGATGTGGCAGTCTGCTTCCATAAAGATTACAGCTCTGGGAACCCTGTGGAGCAATTCTAGCCTGTCCTATAGGGTTGCTATGAGTCAGGATAGACTGGATGGAAACAGGGGTGTTTCAGTTTACTGTGTTATTTTTCTCCCTAAGGGAAAGAACAAAAGAGGATACCGAGTGTAAGAAACAGGGTACAGAAATAGAGGAATTATGTACTTCCTTTGAGTCCTGGAAAAAATAAAACAATGTTTTGCTAATAATTGTGGCTGGCTCATTGTTTTTATGTATGCTTAGCTGTATTTCTAATCTAGAAATAACAGGCAACACTTCTCTCCCTGAAAGAAAAAAAAAAATCTTTAAAACATTACTATCATCAGTGATTTGTGTAGTTCACACAACATTCATTCTTTCATTTATCTAGTTCAGGATTAAAACATTGATTAAAAAAAAAGAAAAGTGCCCTCACAGTTACATCAGGCCACATAAAAACACAATTCATTTATTCTCTTCACTAAATCAAGACCTAGCATAGTGATCAGCAGCATCTATGGGAAATGTATTCAGTCTTCCGGCTTCCTTTTATCTTTCTGTTAATGGTGAATTAAGAGTCCAAGTCCTCCAAATTTTCAAGAGAACTCGAGAGTTTGCTCAATGGAGTTCAAATATCAGACTAAAAGCAAATTGCAATTTTGATTTTAACCCTGCTTCCTACTAATGTCCCAACCCAGGTGTGGCCTGGATTTCATAAAACATTAACTTTGTTCTTTATGTAAATAAAATGGTGGCTGCACAGGTGCACCTGCTGTGTGGTGTTACAGGCAACCACAAAGTTATCAGAGTGTAAATAGAAAAAATAAACAGAACAAGTATGCTAAGGGGCACATTTAGATTGCCACTGTAGATTATGTATATAGTTAAATCTTTCTGTCAAACATTTAATGCAGCTACTGAATCTAAAGTATAGCTTACACGGAAGCTAATTTGCCCAACATTTCCATATAGTCCCCTGATTTGGGTGAATATTTTTAAAAGCTCTCTCAGTAATCACATAATTGGAAGCTATTTAAGAGTACTATAGAGAAAGAAAAACAAATTGTTGCTAACTGAACTTGGAATAGGTTATGCTTCCTTTTAATTTCTTTTATGAAATGACAGTTATGATAAAGAGTACTGGGAACATTTATTACTGACAGGTGTAATTTCACCCCTACTTGAAAGGCCATGACTTTAAAAGGAGACGAAAGCCTCCAGCTGATGAATGCGGGAAGAAAAGTCTGACAGGAATAACATGACCGTCTCAAGGGAATTAAGTCATGTGGGCCTGCGGTTTACCATTTGGCTGTGAAGTTACTAAGATTTACAGTGTGCTCTGAAGGGGTTTGAAACACTTTTATTTGCATTTACTTCTAGAAAGCTGATAGAACAACTTAGTGAAACTACAAACAGTGTGGCCAGCTCATCCTCAACTGATAATGAAGGTTATAGGCCTCCCAGAGAAATTTAGCCTTGACTGATGAAACCCTCCTGCCAGCAAGTTTTGGACTAGTAATAAGAATTGAGATAGTGATCTAAGTATAAGAAGCTTTATTATTATAACTGAACATGAACCATAAGATTGCATTTAGAAAGAGGTTTTCATCATTTTTTGGAGATTTTATATCAAAAATAATTTACAATAAGAATTTTTAGCTTTAGGTCCGTTCTGATAAGATCTTAAAATAAAATTTTTTTAAAATCTATATTAATCAACTAAACTAACATAAATTCTGTACCACTATTTTCAAGACACTGGTCTAAGAAATTTAGTTGAATAAAATGAAACATGTAAAAGGGAAAAGATATAAATGTGAATTACTATAATGTAAAGAAGAATGTGATTAGTGATATAGGAAAGATCCAAGATAGAATGAGAATTAAAAACAAGAAGTGACTATTTCTCAATAGGCATTAAATTGCATCCTGTTTTGTTAGAGTTTATAATCTTTTCCTTAAAAGTGCATGTTGTTACCAATTTCCTGCTAATTTACTACCTGTTTGGTGTGAAGGGGGGAGTGTGTGGGTGAGTTTAGGGATATTCATTCCAGTGAAATCTTTGTAATGTCTTCTGTGCACAGACAGCGGACTCTCTTTTCACTCTGTATGTCATAGGTGTAATGTATTTTTATTAGAGCTTCAATTAAACTAAAGAAGTTATTAATGTGATCAGGAGAGAAAACACAAAGGAGAAGTGAAATCTCAATTAATAAATTACTTAGAACTACTTCATAAAATATAAAGATTAAATGAGTATGGAAATTGTCTGAAAATCCATAGGTAGTAAAGAGTATTACTCAGCCCTTTAAAAGGTCTTAAGAAACTTCCCATGAGTAAAATAGTACCTAGATATTATTTAAGGAGCTCTGGTAGTGCAACAGTTAAGCGCTCAGTTGCTAACCGAAAGGTCCACGGTTCAAACCCACCAGCGTCTCCACTGTAGAAAAGACCTGGCAATCTGCTCCCATAAACATTACAGCATAGGAAACCCTCTGGGGCAGTGCTACTCTGTCCTATAGGGTTGCTATGAGTCAGAATTGGCTCAATAGCACACAACAACAAAATATTGTTTGGAGAAGAATAGAATTACTAAAATGAATTTGATTTTTTAAAACAGAGTTTAGAATTTCTGGCTTCTTATTTCACTTAATCATTCTGAGAGTCATTTGATTAAGCAAAAATTATTATTTTACCAGATAAAATCCATGAGCAGGAACAAGGATACTGGCACAAAAACTCTTAGAATGTAGCATACAAAAACACAACTATATAGACAGGTATACAGGAAAGATATCACTGGAAAGCTGTCAAAAATATTGTTATACATATAATTCTAAGAAATCCTGGAATCCCTGGGTGGCACAAAAGGTTAAGTGCTTGACTACTAACTGAAAGGTTGGTGGTTTAAACACACCCAGAGGCACCTCAGAAGAAAGTCCGAGTGATCTTCTGAAAGGTCACAGCCTTAAAAAACCTATTGAGTGTCGTCCTACTCTGCACAGGTGAGGTTGCCATGAGTCAGAATCAACTTGATGGCAACTGGTTTGGTTTTGGTCTATAAGAAATCCCACAGATACCATATAAACAAAAAAATAGTAAATGCTGAAAATAGAAAGTATGCTAGAAAAAAATATTATATATTTCATTATTGCTTTGAACCTTTATAAAAATAAAAAGTAAATAATAAATGAAAGAAATGGAATTAGAATATGCATTGCTTAAAATTTATAACAAATTAAATAAATAATCCAAAACTAGGAAATAGTACTTGGCGACATCAGCAAGATGGCAGAGTAGGCAGTTCCAAGCTTCTGTCCTCCTAAAAGAAACATCAAAAAAACAAGCAGAAACTGTCAGAACCAACTTTATCAAACCTCTGTAAAGTTTCAGCAAAAAAGTAAATGCTGAATCAAGAAAAAAAGAACTTCAAAGCATTAAGTAAGCTGTGTGTGTGTGTGTGTGTGTGTGTGTGTGTTTTAACTTGCCTATGTCCCATCTCATTGGGCAAATCTGCTGCAAAAAACCTCTTTCAAGTGTTAAAAAGCAAAGATGTCCCCTTGAAGACTAAGGTGTGCCTGACCCAAGCCACGGTGTTTTCAATCACCTCATATGCATGTGAAAGCTGGATAATGAATAAGGAGGACCGAAGAATTGATGCCTTTGAGTTTGGTGTTGGTGAAGAAAATTGAGTATAGCATGGCTTCCAAAAGAATGAACAAATCTGTCTTGGAAGAAGTACAGCCAGGATGCTCCTTAGAAGCAAGGATGGCGAGACTTCATCTCACATACTTTGGACATGGTATCAGAAGGGGCCAGTCTTTAGAGAAGGACATCATGCTTGGTAAAGTAAAAGGTTAGTGAAAAAGAGGAAGACCTTCGATGTGGTGGATTGACACAGTGGCTGCAACAATGGTCTCAAGCATAACAATGACCATGAGAATGGCACAGGAGCGGGCAGTTTTTTATTCTGTTGTACGTAGGGTCACTATGAGTCAGAACAGACTCATAACAACAACATGCCCCATCCCATCCCTGGCTCAATTACACTCTTGAAGATAGCAGCCCATGATAGTAGTGTGGGACTCTGGTCCCTGTTTCCAGAGGAAGCAGAGTAGACCTTATTTGCAAATTATTGTGTTTCTATGTTCTAACCTGTCTGGGGCCCACCTGAAGGATGGATGTAAGGCAGTCATATGTTTCACCTATCTCAGAACTCAGTCAGGGAGGAAAAGTGGCAGGCATTGCTTGAAAAGACTATAGGGTGAATGATCAATACATAGCCAACTGGAATAGAGTTAATAGAATAGCCAACAAGAATACAATTGAAACGTATTATAAACTTAAGATCTGGGAGGAAAAGCCAAGGAGAAATTTTCTTTGGGGAATTTGAGCATTCAATACTAGACATGGCCTGGTTTTCTAAATTGCCCTGTGCATATTAGGGAATTTAGAAAACCAGGGCATACAGAGGGCAAGACAGACATGTTCTCGGAACAGATTTAAGAAAACCCTAAGCTTTCATTTGGGCTGATCACTAGTCTCAGTGTAAGTTCAACTAAGTGTTAAGCACAGAGCTTATCTGAGAAGAAAGGGAAAAGGTTTTTTTGATTGACTGTTTTCATTTTGTTTCAGCTACAAGCATTCAAGGAAATCTCTGTCAAAACATTAGCTGAAAACAAGCTAAAGTAACAGAGATTTCAGGAACCACATATAACAAGGAATACAATCTTTGAAAAAAATAGCTTGGAAAAGTCATTAAACCAATAAACTATTAGAACCTTAAAAAAAAAAAAATAGACCAATCCTCAGGCAAGAGGAAGAATCTGATTTCCATAGTTACTACACATAATATTGAAAAGTCCAGTTTTCAACAAAAAATAACAAGGCATACAAAGAAAAGAAAAAGATGGTGCATTCAAAGGAATGAAATAAAGTGACACAGACTATCCATAATGAAGCCCAGACATTGGACTTACTAGATAAACACTTTAAAACAACTCTTAAATATACTGAAAGACCTAAAGGAAACCATAGAAGAAGTACTAAAGGAAATCAGGAAAATGGTGTATAAATAAAATAAGAATATCAATAAAGAGATAGAAATTGTAAGAAAAAAAACAACAAATTCTAGGTCTGAAAAATACAAAAACCGAAATGAAAATTTTGCAAGAGGGCTTCAACAGCAGATTTGAACAGGCAGAAGGAAGAATTAGTGAGCTTGAAGAGATGCAGTCTGAAGACAGGAAAGTAAAAACAATAAAGAAAAATTAATAGAGCCTAAGGGATCTGTGGAATGCCATCAAGCAGACCAAATGCACATTATGTGACTATCAGAAGGAAAAGAGGGAGAGAGAGGGATGGAAAGAATGTTTGAAGAAATAATGACTGAAACTTCCAAAATTTGATAAAAGACATAAAATTACACATATAAAAAGCTTAACAAACTCCAAGTAGGACAAATATAAAGAGATCCACAATGAGACACAATATACTCAAACTGTCAAAAGTCAAAGACTGAGAGAATCTTGAAAGAAGCAAGGAGAGAAGTGACTCATCACATACAAGGGGATTCTCAATAACACTAAAAGCCAATTTCTTATCAGAAATCATGAAGGCCAGGAGACAATGTAATGACATACTTAAAGTGCTGGGGGGGTAAAAAAACTGTCAACCAAGAATTCAACATCTGGCAAAACTACCCTTCAAAACTAAGGGAGAAATTAGACATTCCTAATAAACCAAAACTGAGAGTTTGTTGTCACTACTCCTTCCCTCAAGAAATGCTAAAGAGAGCCCTTCAGGTTGAAATAAAAGGCAACTAAAGAGAAATCTGGGTAGTGCATGGTTAAGTACTCAACTACTAACTGAAAGGTGACAGTTCACACCCACCCAGAGGTGCCTTGAAAAACAGGCCTTGCAATCCGCTTCTGACAGGTCAGAGTCCTGAAAACCCTATGGATCACAGTTATATTCTGCACATAGGGGGTCGACATGAGTCAGAATCCACTAGACACCAAGTAAGAACAACAGAGAGTAATCTGAAACTGTGTGAAGAAATAAAAATCTACAGTAAAGGTACCTCTATGAGCAAACACAAAAGCAAAAATTGTTGTAATTTTGTTTGTAACTCTACTTTTTATGTCCTACATGATTTAAAATACAAATGGCTAAAAACAATCATTATCAATTGTTATTGGCATAGAATATATAAAGATGTAATTTGTAAGAGCAACAACAAAAATGGGGGTGGAGCTGTAAAGGAACAGAGTTTTCATATGCAATTGACGTTAAGTGGGTATCAATTCACTTTACATTTTTATAAATGTAAGATGTTAAATGTAGTCCCTATCAAAGCTACAAAGAAAATATTATATATATGTAGACATATATATATACATACAAAGGGAATGAGAATGTACAATATTTTAATTAAACAAGAAAAAAGATACTAATGGAGGAAATGAGGAACAAAAAAGGTTTAAGGTACACAAAAAATAAATAGTAAAATGTTAGATGTAAATCTTTCTTATCAGTAATAACTTTAAATGCCAATGGATTAAACTCCCCTATCAAAAGGCAGAGACCAGCAGAATGGATAAACAAGCATGTTCCAACTATTTGTTGTCTACAATAGACTCACTTTAAATCCAAAGACACTAAATATAGAAAATGAAAGAACAGAAAAAAAAATCCATGCAAATCATAATCAAAAGAGAACTGAGATGGCATTATTAATATCAGACAAAATAGACATTATGTCAAAAACTAGTATAAAAATAAAAAATAACATTACATATTGACAGAAGGATCAGTTCTTCAGGAAGACGTAATAAACTTAAGTGCACATAACAAGAGAGCTCCAAAATATATAAAGTGAGCTTTGGTAGAATTGAATTAAGAAATAGACAATTCTACAATAATAGTTGCAGACTTCAGTACACCATTTTCAATAATGAATAGAACATCCAGACATAAGATTAATAAGAAAATAGAGGACTTAAACAACATTATAAACCAACTAGACCCAACAGACATATATATATATAGAACACTCCACTCAACAACAGCAGAATACACATTCTTCTTTAGTGAACTTGGATCTTTCTTCAAGAGAGTCCATACGTTAGGCCACCAAAGGAAAAAATTTGAAGTCAATTTTAAAAGATTAAAATCATACGAACTCTGGGAGTAGGGGAAATGAAGAGTTATTGCTTAATGCATACAGAATTTCTGTTTGGGTAATGAAAAAGTCTTGGAAATAGTAGTGATGGCTATACAACATTTTGAACGTAATCAATACTAACGAATGGTACACTTAAAAATGGATAAAATGACAAATTTTATGTTGCAAGTATTTTATCAAATAAAGTTAAAAAATTGCCTAAATAACATTTACAGTTTAATAAATAAACTCTATAAACCAAATCTTGATAAGTTTCTTACAATATATCCCCCAAAATAGCTTTCTTCTCTCACTACATAGAGATTCCTGACCTTGGAAGTATTTGCAAGAACAGTATGATATAGTTACTAAAATTCCTTAACTTAGCTAAATAATTTCTCAGAAAAAAATGTTTTAATAACTATGAATATTATTCAGACTTCACAGCAAAGTTTTTTTTGTACGAAAAAAAGCAAAGCAAGAATTCTATGGATTTACAAAGTCCAATTGTTTAAATGTCATGTAAAATTATTTTTTAAAAAACTGTTTTCTGGAATAATAAGCTGCTCAAATAGCAAATATATGTATACGAAATCTCTTGGAAATTTTGTCAAGTAAGTCTTCCATACGTTCCTTTATATTGAATTTTAGGGTCCCTGATTTAACAGTCTCACATGCTATTTGAACATCAAGCACCCAATTCAGACAAATTTAAATGTGGGTAGTGCCGATCCATTTTTAGAATTAGATTTTATAATGAAACATTTTCCCCCAATATTTCCTTCTTTTAATCTCCTTTTCATCATTCTCATTCTCCCTCTTCGTCTCCCTCTAGCCCTCCCTCTAGCTCTAACTCTCTCTCTCCCTCCACGTACACACATATACACTCTGCTAGCTTTACCCAGGTTTACACAAGGATTTCAGCCCATTTATGACCCTCAAAATGATTTTCTTTGTTAATTTGTTTGTTTCTAACTCTATGACCACTCATTAAACCTCCTGGCTTCATCCTTTTAGATAACATCTGCTTTCTATCAACGCCAAGGAGGACGTGTTCTTTAAATAAACTTTCTTTGAAAAATAAGAGTAAAAACGTAGGGGGTGTATAAATCTTTAAAAAGCAGAAATCCAAGTTCTTTTATTACATACAAAATGACTTTTTTCTCTCAATATGAAAGCCCTCCATTTACTCCAAGAAAATCATGGAAAATATCAACATCTATACTTTGAAATAAAAGCACTACTTGTAACTGCCATTCACCAAGCCAGAGAGTAATTTGGAAAACAGTAGCAAGAGACGTTGGAGTGATGTATATGTAGGATGAAGCCAAAATGTTTTTCTAACTTGTAAAGGAAACTTTTCTGGGAGCATTACTTTTTAACAGTTGCCTGCTCAAGATATAAGCAGCATCAAACTCAGGTTGATTCAGCTCCAATAAATTAAAAGAGGAAATGTAAGTGAAGCTTGCTGTATATGTTAACAAATCCTGTTATTTAAAGTATAATTTGAATCCCAATCTCTGGTATTACAGGAATTATTTATCAGTCAGGCATGGTACAGAGAATATAGGTGTATTTATACTTACATCTTTATAACTATATAACTATTGCTATAGCCATGACAATATATCTCTGTACATACTTAGAACATACCTGGGAAGATTCACAAGATAACGTTACTTGGAGAAAAGGACTGTCAGGTTGAAGAACATTCCCTTTTAAAACTTATACTTATTATTAAGATTTTTTAAAATATTTTTCCCATACAAAAATTTATACATACATTATTATGTGACTCTAATTGCTCTCCCCATACTGACAGAACACTCCCCCTTTCCACCCGATTCCCCATGTCCGTTCAACCAGCTCCTAACCCTCTCTGCCTTCCCATCTCACTTCCATACAGAAGCTGCCCCTTTAGTCTCTTGTATCTACTTGAGCTAAGAGGCACACTCCTCACAAGTAACACTTCATGTCCCACAATCCAGTCCAATCCCTGTCTGAAGAGTTGGCCTCAGAAATTGTTTTAGTTCTGGGCTGATAGAGAATCCGAGGACCATGCTTTCTGGGGTTTCTCCAGTCTCAGTCAGACCATTAAGTCTGGTCTTCTTACTAGAATTTGAGTTCTGAACCCCACGTTTCTCCTGCTACATCAGGGACTCTCTGTTGTGTTCCCTGTCAGGGCAGTCATTGGTGTAACCGGGCACCACCTAGTTCTTCTGGTCTAAGGCTGATGAAATCTCTGGTTTATGTGGCCCTTTCCATGTCTTGGGCTAATACTTTCCTTGTATCTTTGGTGCTCTTCATTCTCCTTTACTCCAGGTGGTTGGGACCAACTGATGCATCTTAGATGGCCACTTGCAAGCTTTTAAGACCCCAGGTGCCATTCACCAAAGTAGGATGCAGAATGTTCTCTTAATAAGCTTTGTTATGCCAGTTGACCTAGACATCCCCTGAAAACATGGTCCCCAGACTCCTATCCCTGCTACTTTGTCCCTCGAAGTGTTTGATTGTATTCAGGAAACTTCTTAGCTTTGGTTTAGTCCAGTTGTGCTGACTTCCCCTGTAGTGTGTGCTG